CCATAACCAGATGTGGTGGCCTAGAGGCCCAGAGAGGTGACGTGTGTTGGTCCATAACCAGATGTGGTGGCCTAGAGGCCCAGAGAGGTGACGTGGGTTGGTCCATAACCAGATGTGGTGGCCTAGAGGCTCAGAGAGGTGACGTGTGTTGGTCCATAACCAGATGTGGTGGCCTAGAGGCCCAGGGAGGTGACGTGTTGCCCACGAACTTACAGCTCCTTGGTGGAGAACTGGGAGAAGGCCTGTCTCTACACTGCCTTCGTAGGGCTCCTCGATATTCCCAGAGAGGGGCCCATGCTGGGCTCTGGGTCCCCTCACCCTCGTTCAGGTTTGTTTCTTGAGTCCACACCCCGCAGACCTTCCACCCCGGGTCCCCATGTTGTTTCTCTTCCATGACACTCTCCCCACTGTGGCCTGTTCTCGGCTCTTGCAGGCCTACAAGAGGAAGACAGAAGCCGCTAAGAAGGAGTATCTGAAGGCTCTGGCAGCCTACAGGGCCAGCCTCGTCTCCAAGGTAACCCCAGAATCCCCCTGAGAGCTCTGCTAGTGTGGGGCCTCTGGAGGGATGCAGCAGGCAGCAGGGCCCACAGGCACAGCCCGAGGCAGGGGTGGTGATGGGACAGTGGGGGAATTCTTCCCTGAGGGTGCGGGAGACCTGATTTCATGTCTTGGTCAGCGCACCATGTACGGGGCTTATCACCCATCTGTTAGTGGTGCACTGTGTGCTCCTGGCATGTTGGACCATTTCCAGCAGAGCTTCCAAACAAGACAGACTAGGAGCAAAGACCTGGAGACTTCCTGAAAATGAGCCCGTGAAACCCACATGGAGCACATTGTTAGGATCCACAGCCCTTCACAGGGACGGCTCAAGACAGACAGCGTTCTGTTCCCTGTACATGCTGTTACCAGTGGGCAGGGTTGGCACACCCAGGGGCCTGCCAGGACTAGAAAGTGGGTTCACTCCACAGTTAGAGTAGAAGAATTGGGCATCAAAAGCCACAGGGGCAGAGCTGCTGTCCTGGGGGCCTGGGAAGCAGCTGAAGCCAGGGGCCTGGGCCCCCCACCCAGAATCCAGCAGCCAGCACATTGGTCATTTGCACCACCAGCCAGGTGTCCAGAGGTTGCTGCATGATTTTAGTCTGTCCTCAGTGCTACCCCCAGAGGCCATGCCAGGGGGCTGCAGAAGCGCCTGTTATTACGGGCCCAGTTCTCACTTCTCCCTCTTCTCCAGATTGATGGGTTTCCGCTTCCTTGCAGAGCCCCCCAGACCAGGGGGAAACCAAGAGTCCACAGGCCAACCCGCCAGCCAAAATGCTACCCCCCAAGCAGCCCATGTATGCCATGCCAGGCCTGGCCTCCTTCCTGACACCGTCGGACCTACAGGCCTTCCGCGGAGGGGCCTCTCCCGCAAGCCTCGCCCGGACGCTGGGCTCCAAGTCGCTGCTGTCGGGCCTCAGCGCGTCATCCCCGCCGCCCTCCTCCTTCCCGCTCAACCCTCCTCTGCACCAGCAGCTGCCACTGCCGCCCCATGCACAGGGCGCCCTTCTCAGCCCACCTGTTAGCATGTCGCCAGCTCCCCAGCCCCCCGTCCTGCCCACCCCCATGGCACTCCAGGTGCAGCTGGCTATGAGCCCCTCACCTTCAGGGCCGCAGGTAAGCAAGGGAAAGGTGGGAACAGGCCCTTAAACGGCCTGTGCTTAGAAGGGAGGCTGCCTGGTATTTCAAACCCTAGTCCTGCTTATTAGAGAAACAATAGTTATAGAACAGGGTTCAGATCTTTTGTTCATAGTGTCTCTGTGTCACTATGTGTCGTATTCGACAGCACTTAACAACAACAATCCCTACTCTGACCAACTGTGCAGCCTCTGCCTCAGTTCCTTCCCTTCCTGAGCCTCAGTTGCCGCATCTATGATGAATCCAGCACACCTTACCTGAGATGTTCTGATCGCCAAGTCGCCATGTCCATTCTTGGGCTATTCCAGGCCCCCCTTCTCTTATCCTCAGCCCTCTTCTCTGCCAGACCCCAGAGGCTAAGGGCACTGTGGCTTCTCTCTTGGCCACTGGGTCTCCCCAAAGCTTTGGAGGCTTGACTCTCACTGATTATTCCGCAGAAATTGTTGCAGGGCTCACGCAGCTCTGGAGGGCAGCCAGCCCAACAAACTCATTTTACAGATTAGAAGGGAAAACTCCCAAAGGCGTAGTCCTTTACCCTCAAAGAAGCAAAGACAAGGACCTTTCAAAAGGTGCCCTACTGGGCAAGGAGGCCACCCTCCATGTGGACACACTGTAAATTTAGTATCACCCACAGCAGGTATCTCGTTAGAATCTGAGAATCCTTAAGCACAGAGAATCCCCACCCCACTTTCAGCCCCTGGGTCTCTGCCACTCACCCATCTCCTCCCCTTTGCAGGATTTCCCTCACATCTCTGAGTTCCCCAGCAGTTCGGGGTCCCGCTCCCCTGGCCCATCGAGCACCACGAGCAGTGGAGACTGGGACAGCAGCTACCCAAGCGGGGAGTGTGGCATCAGTACCTGCAGGTCAGTCATCACCCACCCCACCCTCGGGCCACCTTTGCCTGGTCAACTCTGGAGAGTGAGAGCAGCGATGATCAGGGTGACGAGAAGGCCCCTCTCCTGGAGTTCCTCTCGGATTCTGGGCACTAGAGGTTCCAGGAGATGGATGCAACCTGAAGCCCAGGGAGCCTCTGCTGCTCATTCTAGAGCTTGTTTGGTGATGTGAGGCTGGTCGTGGTGGTGGCGGTGGTGGTTATGGTCGTGGTGGTGGTGGTGGAGGTGGTTGGTGGTGGAGGAGATGGTGGTGGTGAGGTGATAGAAATAGTAATGGTGGTGGTGATGGTGGTGGTGGTGGTGGTGGTGGTGG